GATGACATGATCGATATATTCATTCTTCATCGTCGTGCGCCGAGAGTTCTCCGTCGTCCCGACGAATTGTACCGCGGTCCCCTTTAATATGCCGATAAGAATGTCGCCGATAAGAAAAAATAAATAAATAAAACTCGAGGCAGAATGCATCTCGGTGAAATTCGTCCCTTCCCTTCTCGCTACGCGAATATCGTAATCGATCAATGTCTTCAGCGTCATTCGCTTACATTACACCTTAATGGCCACCGAGAGCCGTGTTGAAGTTCGTCGACGAATCTTGCTTGAGCAGTTCATTCTCTGGACGAGTGTCACGTATTTCCTTTCTCTCCCTCCGGACAAGGCGATTCAATGGGGTTTTTGGACCGCGCAGAACGCAACCAATTCGAGTTTCAAATCGAGTTCTTTCTCGACCATTGAAATCTTGAAGATTTCCGATGGCTTCGCACGAATAAAGCCAGGCATTAAACGGTTATAAATGTGTGCGATATATATTTTAAAATGCGAATTTAGAGTGCGAATATATTTTAGAAAATACTCTTTTGACAGATAGTAGATGGAAATATTTTTGCAATCTTCTTTCTAATACTCCAATTTTCAGAGGGAACAAAGGGGAGGAGAGAAATAAATAAACGCACACATTAATGAAAGAACAACTAAATTCAGTACTTTATAAGAAGTTCTAACTAACTGAAATTGAAATATATTATATGCAGCAAAGTAGTGACACTACTGACACTTGAGTGTCTGTTTTTAGAGATTTTATTTCTGTTATTTACGTTGTAAAGTTTCCCAGTTTGAAATGCGAGCCGAGAGAAGAGTGTGAGAAACTGAAATACTCGAGTAATTTTTTCCCCTCCGCGCGCAGGAAAAGTCCTTTTCGCGCCGTAGATGCGTGGTGGATGAAAACTCCCGGGTTGGAAGCTGGGGTTGCATCCGCGTGGGAGAATGTAATTAATTCTCGTCAAGTGAATATTTAGGAGCGCGCGGTATTTCACGTGACATTTCGCCACAATGCGACGGGGAAATGCTCGCGCTGCACCACGTCCGGGACGCGGTTTTGACGATCGACTTTTAATAGAAGGTTCTCCAATGATATTAAGATTGACATCGTCGTTGTATTCATGATGGACACTCGTTTAACGGACGATATTTCGTGAATATGCGCTTCGAAGCTTAACATTTCTTTTTTTCCTTTTCCAATGGCAGTAAATCTTTGGTCTATTTATCGGCATTTCTCAGGGATCTCCCCCCTCTCTCGACGCAAAGAACCCCATCGTCGCTATAATCTTTCTCTCGGTATTACATCTTTTTGAATTAAACCCTACATTTTTCGGGATATTTTGAGAATGGCCGCTTAAAGACTCCGTCATTTATCACGTACGATTACGATTATACACGAGTTTTTTGCCCCTCCGGAAGGGCGAAACGCGCGGGGATACTTACGAGGCTCATTGCATCGAAGAAGCACCATTTTTCATCACGAACGATGACTCGCGGATCGCGCGCGCGGACGGGGCCAAAATCAAAGGTTCGTCCTTGCCGCGTGCAAAAAAGCGCCTCTTTAAGACCGCGTTTTCTTCCCCCTGGCCTTTAATCGCTCCTCCGCGTGACCACAGCTAATGGCATGAAAAAGCGAAACGTCACTGCAAACTGGCAGAAGTGGGTTATATCATGGCAGGTAAAAAGGATCGAGACCCGCCGCGACCCGTCGCACGGGAGATTGTTTAAAGTCGAAACCGGCCGCGGGACGACGTAATCTCGAATAATACAAACGTTCAGTGAATAGCAGGTGAGATAAAGCGCGGTGATTTCGCAGAAATCCTCCTCCTGAGACGTTTAAGCTTGAAATCCGATCCGGATTTCGTTAACTGCGTTAATTACATACATTGTATCGGTAATGATGTCGAGAAGCAGATAAACGGTGTGTCTTATCTGAAACGATTAAATAAATTCACTGGAAAGTTTAGTGGAGTCAGAAAGTTGATCAATTTAAGTGGCCTCTATTATTTATTTTATAATATTTATTCAAACAAAATTTTTTTAAATAACAAGTTATTATAGTATGATTTTTATAAAATAATATTTACATAAAAAATGTTTATGTGATATATCATATGTGTGTGTTTTAAATATTATTCTGCATTTTACATAATATAATACCTATCATAACTCTTGCAATAAATTTGATATTTGACAGACGGGCGTGAACCGAAAAAGTTAACATAAACATAATAGCTCCAAGACAAAATGTAAAAAATTGAAAAATGAAGAAGATGATGTGATGCGAGCTTATTTAATTAAAAAACCATTTTACGCGCAAGTTTTAGTTTTAGTTTGCGGCTTCTATTACGATGACCCACTTTCACGTCAGGCCCGCGAAACGATCGGGGGAGGCAGGTAAATGATAAACGGTAGCAACCACAACAGGTCCGGCGATATTGCAGGAATTTCGCCGTTTACGAAAGTCAGATCATCGCAAATTCTTGAGATTCAGCTGGGAATCTCCGGTGCAAGTAAGCCGCGTCCCGATGTCTCGCGATACTGAAATTCCGTATGCATGTCGAATTGTTCGTTGCAGCACTTCTCATTCTCGCGCGGAATTACCGCGTGAGATGCGCGTGCGTATCTTTTCGCGCGATTAAGTTCGCGAATTCGCGCGTTCGCCTCGGGCGTTTAATTGGAGATCTCTCGAACTCCACGTTCCTCGATTGATTCTACTCGCGCCAAGACGCGTCGCAGGATTTTGAGAGCCGTCCTTCACAAATTCCATGCATTGTCTCACGTAGATGAGGTAGATGCTCACCGCATCGTGATTTCGAGCGGCTACGGGTGAACTCGTGTTCTCCGGTTATTCCGAAATCTGATTAACCTTCGAGTTATCTTCAAGAGCAGTTTAACATCGTGCATATTGTAGTCGAAAACAATGATTAAAATTCGATTAATTACTGAAAAATATAATCAAGAACAAAAGTGAAAGAGAAATTTTCTATCATTTTGTATGCTTTAATGGATTTAATGAAAAGAAATTTTTTATCACAAGATATTCCGTTTTATCACAGATTATTTTAGAGATATTTTTACATAAACCTTTTTTTTATTGTGTTTTGCTGAAATTAAGCAGCTCGCGTTGCTCGAGATATTTAGCGCAGATGCTCACAAAAGCGTCTCTTGCAGCAGTCATTTCCCTATTCATTTTATAGAATGCTAGAGCGAGAGGACAAGACCTCTTCGAAGACATTATCGTTCTCAACACAGCGATGTCTTGGCCCTTCAATTAGAGGGCAGATGGTACCGGTGCAACTCAGCCACCGAATCTTTCTAGGTGACCTAAATTCAACGCTCACACACTCGATTAATTAGTCTCTACGAGTGGCATCCTCTTTTCTCTCTCACCTACATCTCTCTCTCTCTCAAAAACACGTGCTGTAAAATCATATTTAGGTTTGAATTTCAAATTACGTCGCATTCAAAGCACGTTTTACTTCTTGTTCTTTTTTTTTCTTTTTCGCTGTTTTTCATAATTCTGCCTGTCCTCGAATTTTTAATTCTTCTGACGCTGTTTTTATTGCATCAAATGAAAAGAACACAGGAACAGGAAGCGATTGAATAATTGTCGACACATAGAATCGTGTTACAGTATGTAACAAAATATAATTTTGCGCAAAATTGTATTTTGTCCGACCTCTGTAACCTCGATAAAATGAGTCACATATTTATTTCAACAGAATGCAAAGAAGGATTTTCCGTATTACGGGCCTCGCATTGTTCATTTGGCGGTTTAATGATATTAAAATATGACGACGACGGGTAATATAGTCAGGTATAAACGTCGCTACATTTAACATAATGAGGAGAGAATATTCATAATATTCATTGAATGCCTTAAACTTTACCCTTTCAAAATCCTGATAAATATCTTACAATATAGAAGCCATAAACACAGCGGTTGTATCTTGGCTGTATCCCGATTCTATCGCATTGAAGATTACCTTCCATTACTTATTATTATTCATTCGGCTTAGATAAGGTTTAAAACTGCCAGTCTAAGGCGGTACATTGCAATACGTTGCGTTTACAAGCATCGAATATTGGAATATGATTTTCTTTATATTTAGCCACAGAAAAAAAAAGAAAATTTTAAATTGCTAAAGATTTCTCTCTCTCTCTCTCTCTCTCTTTATCTTTCTTTATTTCAAATTCTTCAGAATCTGCAAACGAAAGGATTAATTCTAAGGAGTCTTACGCATGAAGCTTATTATATCCGCTCCGTAATGGTTTAGCATTATTTCATCCATCGCTGTAACGCCAAGATATCGCCGCGAGTTTCCTCTGTAAATCCTTTAATCGAATTTTGCACTGTTTACAATTGATCCCATTTGATGTCTTCAGGCATCAGAACGTCCTTTAGATTAGAACGTCCTTTGAGGTGTCCGACACCACGAATTCTCCGCATTGTCTCACGAAAATGAAGGATTATCGATATTGCGTGGTTTATTGGCTAATTCCTGCTCCTCCTTCCCTTAGCTTCCCCCTTCCCCGCCTCTCTCTCTCTCTCTCTCTCTCTCTCTCTCTCTCTCTCTCTCTCTCATATCAATTACCTAGACGAATAAAAATATTAAAATAAAAATTTCAAAATATCTAATATCTAGTCTTATAAAAAATATATATAATTACAATATATATCAAATTCATTGAATAAAAAGATGCAAGGATAGAATGTAAAAATATAGAAATACTTGTACAATTTAATGATAGAAATTTTTTACAATTAGGTTTAAAATAAAAAGAATTAGGAGATTAACAGATACGATTAAATTTCTTATATAATGTGACAAAATAAATTGCAGTACATGCAGTTTTTTTGTGATATAAACTCTTCTCTGCGAGACTTGATTTTTCATCGTTGTTATGCATTTACTTATGCATATCTACCTCGTGCATCAGGCGAGCTCCGTTAGTAATAAAGCTCCTTAATAGACACGATCGATTCGGTTACGCAGATGCCAGGCATTACATCAGGCCGTCGTCGGAAATTAAAAAATGCGCTCCCGTACTTTGAAGAAAACGCGGGGAGTCTTGACGAAGGAGAAAGGTGATCGAGGAAGGACGAGCGGATAATCGAGATATATCACGCGATCATCGCGGAGGAGCGAATGATATAATTGCTGGCAAAACGTTCGATCGACTGCTCATCGGGAAAGCTGCCCGAAGGATCGCGGCAAGTTATTTTCCCAGCGGCGAGCCTTGAAACGACGCCGATCGATTCCTCGAAGGATAATAACACTCCTGGCTTTCGTGGTCCCTGCGAGATACGCGGGACGTCCTTGGCCTCGTTCGCGCCAACAGGCTCGAGAGGTGTTTCTTTTTTTTTTTCGCTCCCGTTTTTGAAATCCTTGCGTGAGGGCTGTGCAACCCGGAAGCTCGCGTTCTTTCGCGTCCGACTTGGAAAATCGGACTCGGCGAGTGCGGATTTTTTCCGCGGATTTCCATCCCTCCCCCTCGACCGTTCCGCTCCTGCGAGCTGTGTATGCTTTTGTGTATGAGAAAATTTTCTAATTAAAGTTGCAGCCGCGTTCGACTCACCGTACCGTGCGTGTCGGCCTACGCGCGATAGGATCACGTGATCGCGGGCAAAATCAAGAATATAGCGTTAATCCGGATCTCGCTCTCGAACTTTCGGTAACGTCATGCATACCTCGTAATCTGACATGCCTGAGCGGACTACTATCAGCGGCAGAGAACTCCCATTGATGTCTATACGCTTCCAAGTAGATTTTGCCGAGATTAACGTGAAGCGAATTCATGAGGTAATAAAGCGAACAGAGATTGAGCGTCAGATGTAATTTCCGGTGTAACGATTCAGGCCTTTTGAATTCACAGCCGAAAATCCGACAGCTGAGACGCCGTGTAACTTCGCAATAATTCGTTTACATCGTACGTCGCTATTGTCTCGGTAAACAATAATTTTTTTATTTATTATTAGTATAAAACTGTGGATATAATTAATTATAAGGAGAATAAGCGGAAGGAAACTTCTCAATTTTGAAGGATTACGAAGGCGCAGCGCTGCTAGAATGCGCAACAATTGATGGCGCGCAGATGTACGTGTTGAAAACTCGCGACGAGTAGAAACGCATGAGACATTTCTCCGAGGAGTTCGCTTCTTGACATTGTGCCGATAATGCCAATAGCGATCGCAATACTTAGCGTTATCATTTGCTTTGTAAACCGTTTGATGTGACTCTTCGTTTGAGACGCGGAACGTGACATCTCGCAGAAACGAGTATAAGAGGGATACGTGCTCCCGAGGTGGCAACGAATAAGCTGGCCGTAATCTCCGGAACGTGAACTCCGGCGTGGAAGACGGAAGAATTTTCCGCGGAATATTTGCCCGACGGAAACGCATTTTGAAAATCACCAGCCACCCGGTCTTCTCTCGCCGCGGAGAGAAAAGCTGCGCTATTATAATTTCATTGGAGTTACGGAACAGAGGGAGAATATATGCAACTTTTGTGGCAATATAGAGATATCGCTTGCAACGTTATTAATCGATCGTCCTTGGAAATTTCACGCGAGCAAGTTTGAAGGAAGGATGAGAATTGAAAATTTGAGAACCCGTTTGGAGTTTTTATGTCGTTAATCTTCTAGAACGAGTATTTCATTGTCGAAGAACACCTGTGACACTTTTAACTTGTTTAGCAACCATATGTTGCTGAATAAATCTTACGCATAAAAAGGGATGACTTAACAATAGATCGCAAGTTTTGGATTAGAGGCATGTTATGCTGTCCATGTTAGAAGGAAACTAAACGATCGTACCTTCAAACTCGACTTGTTCATTGTTGCGACGAGTGACTGCGAATCGAATTTTCGTTGCGAGGCGATGCGTCACTGTAGCACAATCAGCTTAATCGTCATACGCTGCCACCCGACATAAAAATTGTAATTCTTCATAACGAATGGACTTGGTGTAGCGGAAGATAAAGGTGTTTAAAAACTTGGCGGTCTATTGGGTGGAAACTTCGCCGGGACGGCGGAACGGCAGTCGGAAACTTAATCGATGCAGCACGAAGTGCAGAGGGAAGTACACGAATAGCACGAGACACTTGACGCACGTCAAGGAACGATATATATGTACGTGTATGTGTACGTATCAGTTTTCGTGTTTTTCTCTGCTGGCAAAGACTAGTGAGGGTTGTAAAATTTACGACGAGGCAGTACAGCGGCTGAAAATTGCCGCAAGGGAAGGCGCACCCGTAAAAATTGCGCAGCGTAAAAGCACCACGGGAGGAGCAGAAAAATTCCTACGTGGTGGTACTTGCTTTCCTCGATAAAAGGACCGCAATAAAAGGGGAAAAAGAGAAAGAGAAGAAGAGAAGAAAGGTCACGCGAGAAGAAAAGAGCTGTCCGGCGATCTCATCGAAATATTGTCCAATTAAGTCTGATAAACTGTGTCTAATTAAGCCAGGGAGAGTGGAAGCGCCGGGCGAGCACGTGGAGAAGGGCCCGACGGCGCGCAAGAGCGGCCTCATACGCGGTCTCGTACGCCGATTGAGCAGCAGCGGCCGAACGGGGCGATCGGCTCGCTCGATTGTCACGTGCGGCATCGGCGGTGGTGGCGGCGGTGGCGGGTCCAAAGGTGGAAGCGACGGAGGTGGTGTAGCAGAAGGCAACACGAGTCCCAGCGGTGGTCACGTTCTCGCAGCTGAGCAACAGTCGGTCGCGGGGGCCGATATCACCACGGTGTCCGCATCCGGGACTCCCCTTGGTGGCCGAGGTACCCCGAGCCGACGGTCCAGCCGCGATCTAAGCCCCTCGAAGAAATCGTCGTCGGCGTCGTCAGTGACCGGCCAGCAAGATGCGGTGGTGGTGGCCAGCCACGGGGGCGACGGCGGCGGCGGTGGTGGTGGTGGTGGTGGTGCCGGTACCGCGTCGTCTTCCGGCAGCGGTACCGGCCAGGATTGGCGGAAGCTAGTCGGCAGCATAAGGCGCAAGGTGCGCCGCAAAACCACCCAGAACAGCTCCAGCATATCCGAGGCCGCTCTGCAGGACTCGACGAATCGCAAACAGGATGACTTCCTCAAGGCCGCAATGAGGATCTTCCTGGTGGTCTCGCCGCCGATGGGGCGCATTCAGGTAAAATGCGCGTATATCGGCCGCATAATCACGTTTTGCTGTTTTGCATCAACATGCCAATGCCTGGATGCGAATGCTAAACACTTTTTCTAGCCTGCTTGTCTATCGTTGAATCTTGATTTCCATCATTGGCCATCTCATTGTAGAAAAAGATATCAAATGAAGACATATAACATGTGATAAACGAAATTTAAGCATCAATGTCTAATTTCTTTTAAATTAAGTGCATGAGATGAATCTTCTTACGTAAGACCGAAGCTTACATCATATTGAATATCTCATCTATCACGCTCTACATATAGACACGAATATCTTCTTTTCTCTGACGTAAATTGCAATCGCTACAATGTACAATATATATCCGCATACTTTTCTTCACTCTTCTCTACTCTCGTCGGGCTGATCGGCGAAACCGAACAAAACGTTTGACGAAAAAGAAACATTTGACGTTACCCTAGGCAGAAGATGCTTTCTGCACAATCATACAACTCGGATCCAATCGAATGCTTTTATTCGATGAAAGGAGCTGATAATTGCCTTGCGGATCTCAGAGACCCAGATAGGATTTACTTTTCACGGACAATCTGGTTTCTCGTGATAAAAGGAGAGATAGCTTCTTCGCCGTTCGTCTCGCTGCTATATTCGAAGCGTACAAAAAGGCATCTTATTATTTTCGGACTTTAATTCCTTCGGGCAAATGCACTTCATGTCCCAGTTTCGTCTGCATATGTCGCGTCATATTATTAGATATATATTGTTGTCCATTTATTTTAATATTTATATACATATTGAAATATTATATCAATATATCAATATTTCCATTTATTTCGAATGATATACGCTATTATACATCAAGCGAATGCTTGTCATGTTAATAAAATCAGATTTTTATTAATTCCATTTGCGGGACGGTAAGCAATAGCCATTTCAGTGTACAATTTAAAGGCTACTATGGGGAATATGTCTCCGGTAAATCACGACAATTAATCTTTTGTAATACGCAACGAGTGGAGCAGCCATGTATTACAGTCGTTCTCGCAATTACGTCGGCCGACGAGTACATTATTCGTCGATGGGTTGTCCGAAACGGGGACGTTCTGCCGTAGATGCGCGAAACAAATTGTCTCTGTCGTAAAATATCCACGCCAGCGGAATACCGGGCGATTTTGCGGTGTTGTTCGCTAGACTTCCCGCACGTTCCTGATGTCGAATATCTCTCTCCGGTATTAAATTGAAACCCAAATTATTTAGAGAGATACTTGGAACATTAATAATATCTGTTAGTTTAATTATATCAAATTATGCGCATGCGTGTCCCAAACACGCGTCTACTGTCGCTTTGGCGTGCGAGATTCCCTCTCGTCATCCCAGATTTCGGAAATTCCGTCGTAATACACCGTGGAGCGATGCGTTATCTCGCTCCGCCGCTCTGTCTACCTGCTTCCGTCTGAATTTATCAATCAATCATGCCTGAATGGGCGCCTTAGTCAATCAATTGATCGGTCCGATTAAACAGACGGCACGGCCTCTAATCTACGCTACGGCTCGGTTGCTCGATTTTTCTTCTTTTTTTTCACCTTTTTTCCTTTTATCAAACGCGCGGCTGAATAGACGTTGACGCGCGATATAACTCCCCCGCTAATCGATTATATCGCCGCTGTTTGCACCGCGACCTTTCGTCTGATGTAACAGCTGCATTCGATGACCCGCTCTTCAACAATGCGCCATAGTAGTCGCGTGGATATTTGCACGCGATCGTATCGTCGCTGTAAGTGGAGGTCGATTAGAGGTAATTAATAATTCTTATCCAGATGTGGGACATTTCTTACATATCGATTCTTTAGATATCGATTATGTCTTGGGTATTGTTACATTATATTTTCTCCAAAAGAAACTAATTTAAAATTTTTATGTATTAAATTAACTAAACCATCTAAAATTGTGCATTGATTTCTATCAAGTAAAAATTATTGCTGATGTGCGACCTGCTCAGGATTACGTCAATTTACAACAACTTTGTACAATGGGAAAAGAGATCGTCCGCTTTAAAATGAAATATAAACGACGTACTGTTTATATTAGTACGGATGATTTGTATAAGCAGATTCAAGACATCAAGAGACATAAGGCTGCTTCGTAAGTAAAAATCTGCGAGGAAATCCCGTGTACAACCCCGTGCTTGTTACGCTACCACTTCACCTACTTTAAGAAGAGTCTCTTGTAAAATCAAACCGTTGCACTGCGTCTTTGCGAAAAAAAAGTCACTTGTTGTTTCTCATTATAATTTCGGAGAAGAAATCCAGCGATTTTACGAAAAGAAATGTTCGCCCGTTTTATCTTTAATTCAATATAAAACTGCTTCAATATAAAACAGTAAAATCGTGTGTTGCTGCGGATCTACCACTATTATTACAAATCCAGCGCAATCGAGTAAATCTTTTTGAATGAAAGTCTTGACATTTTCTGCTGAATGCGAGCGTAAAAGTAAAATACTCTGGATAAACTTTTTCCGATCGCGACTTCTTTTCATTGTTCTTCGATGCATTGTCGGAGCCACTTTTTCTGACCGTTAGTGACATTGCAGATCAAAGATATCTGTTGACCTAGATTTGAAAGTGTTAGATCGACCCACAGATACTGCCATGTGATAATATCGTGGTTGATGTAACAAGATATATGTACACGTACCTGCATGTGGTACGCGTTTAATGTGGTTATTTTCTGAGTACTGTAGCGTAAAATTTTACCTTTCTGTTACGCGTGACCTGGCCATGTTTCGTTTAATATAAAAAAATTAACGATCAACATACCGTTCGTAAAAATTAAATTTAAAACTTCAAATTAATTATTTCGGTAAATATCTAAAAAATTATGTCCAACTTTATATAGAATAGTAAGTGCTACAAGCATAGTTGTTATTAACTGTAACAGTATTTAGAGAAACGTCAAGTGTCTGTAAAATATTACTGCCACTTACCTTTATCTTCTTTTTAGCATAAAAATGGCGCATACATATGATGTAAAATTATTTTAGTTTTTTGTTTTTTTTTTTTCATACATATGCTATAAAAAATTGCGTATCCCTAATATTAATATTATACTCGTGTAAATTATTTTGCTAGAATAATGGAATGAATATTTTACGGCATAATATTATTATCGACGGTATATTTTCTCAAAGATCTCGAAGAGAGCATCATCGAAAGCGTTATATCTGCGATATCGAGTAGCATTTATCTATGGATAATGTAAGAAAGATGGAGAGAAAGGAGATAAATCATTTTTTTCGATCACCCCTACGATCTCTCCTGAAGTAAATAACGTTAAGGCATTTTTATCCATAATAAAAAGCGTTAAGACGTACTTTTATCTTTAATCATTCTTTTTCTAATATATATTTTAAAAAATAAGATAATTTATTGCAAAATGCTTTTACGTTTATCTATCTATGATGGCTAACTAAATCTTACTTTTGTTAAGTCGAATATTTATAAGAAAGAAGTAATTATTGGAAAAATATTTATAAGGGAGAAGTAATTATTGAAAAGTAATTAGTTAAAGAATGAATATGAGTGGCTCGACTTTGTTTATTTTCTATTTTTACTACATTTTCATATTTTAATCGGTGGCAGTTTCTCAATTTATCACGCAGGCGAGCGCAAAATTTCTTCTGCTAAAAATAATGAGCAGTATGTTGCTGGGAAATCGAAGAGCGAGCACGATTGCGCAGTCGATGCTAAATGGACCATCGTATTTTAATCAAAAATATATAACAGCCTGACCCGCGTGCGTCAAAGGTTATGAAACGGTAATGAAAATTCCGTTGGCTTAGCTGTAGTATGGTACTAAAAGTGGAGTACAATGATGGAGTAGAGAAAAAAGAGAGAAAGAGAGAAAGCAGAATATATCAAGCATCAAGTGGCCATCTTATCTGATAGGGGAAGAGGTAGTGTTTTGCGAGAGATTGATGGCTGACGGGAAATATATGGAAAGGGGGTGTATAAGAGGAGCGCGGATCAGAAGGGTTTCGCGGGAACTGATGACACGTGATGTACACACACACACACACACACACACACACACACACACTTTTATATATGTATATATATATATATATTTATATTTATATATAATATATACATATAAAGATGTCAGTTAACCAATGGGCCGCGGATGAGCGTTTCGTGCGAAACGAGTCGCGAGTAAGCACGCGTGT